CCCCAAAACCCCAAAACCCCAAAACCCCATTTTATAATCATATTATGTAAATGATAGTAATACTAAAATATTTCTAATTTGCAATAAAAAATAATATTAATTAGGTTTGCTAAAGTCTTTTCAATCTGTTTGATTTTCAGAGAAGTGACTTAGATGAAAAAGATGAGCTTTACCTTCGTCATTTCCAAATGCAAGAAATTCACTTGAGTAGCTGAAATCTATGGTGAGAGCGAATTTTAAAACGCCTATTGCTACTCCTGGGAAGTTTTAGTAGACTGTGTAGCTTGGAATGTGAATGAGCTTTATTGCATTCTTCTTCCATTTAGAGCAAACTGCAAGTATTTAGCTTGTTGGGTTGAATTTTAGATCAGTTATGGCTGTTGTTAAGTTCATTATACTTTTCATTGGTGACAACGTTTCAATTCTCTATGTGTTGAAATCGAATTTATAGATATTAATGATTCCCATGTATGATCCTGTTGCTAAATTTTTACCATCTGGACTCATACAAATATGGGTGGTATTAAAACTTCCTTCATCTGAGTATTTTGCTACACATTTTTTGGACTCCAAATCCCATTGATATATATCTGCTTGATCTCCAACACTGAAAAGATATCTATCATCAGGGCTGAAGCATAGTGAATTGCAACTTCCATTCATTTTAAACTAAAACATTAGTTTCTTTGTCTTTTAGCTCATTACTAAAATATAACCTGACTCCTAGCAAGCGAATGCGAAATAATCTGAATCAGCAGAGATAGAAACAAACATTTTAGACAGATTCGTTTCATCTGAATGACCCATTATCTATGATATTTTTTCAATCTTATTCGTTGCAAGGTCATAATAGTAGAAATGTTTCCTGTTTCCTGAGAATACTATTTATTAACCATTTAAGATGAATTTAGCATTATATATTGGGAGGTCTGGGAAAAATATGCTTTATATTTTGCTTGATTTCTTGCTATTAATATTGAAAAGTTTGGCTTTTCTATCTAATCCACATGTTAATAGTATATTTTCTTTTGGATGGAATTATAGATTTGTGACAACTGATTCATGATAGTGACCACTATTAGCAGGCTAGAGTCTTGAAAAATTTAGCTTCTCAGGTTTTAATATCAAGTCCTTCTTTTGATATACATTTGCATTTGATTTCAATAGCTTAGTTATTGGATCATCATCCTCATCATCTTAAGCTACTGATAATACATTTCCATCTTATGTTGGTAATGCAGCCCAAGAGAATAACTCAGAACCTCCTGTCATTTTTGAGTACTAATCTTATAATCTCTCAGCATACTCATTACCTTTAATCTGCTTTTCAGACTCTGTTTACTTAAGTTTCCTTAATCTTGACTTATCCTCAATGTTAACTGTAATCTTTTCAAGGGATTTATCGGTCCATGCTGGTAACATATGCTTATTTTGCAGCTATTTTTCATTGAGTTGTATTTTTTCCTCTAGCTTTTCAACTCTTTTCTTTTTGTTCTCTACAAACAACATATTTAGTATATTTATAAATATTATATACTCATAATTATTATCAGATAGAGTCATATGGGGTTTTGGGGTTTTGGGG